GGCTCCTTCCTGGAATGAAGGCAGGTTCGTTACACCAGAAGTTTCCGTCTGAAAGGAGGAGGTTACTGGTATCCCCTGTGTGTAGCCTTGATGATCAAAAGGATTAATAAAATCTGCAGTCTGATCTTCTGGATCAGAATCCTGGGATTTTTCAGAATATTTCTCTGTTTGTAAAAGAGTTAAAGCTTCAGCAAATTTCTTGTCTTGAGCTTTTAAATCTTTTATCTCAATTTTAAGCTTGTTAACTTCACTTTGGAGATCTTGTAAGGTGATTTCTTTTTTCTTTTCCTTACTGAATCTTTCCATAGTTTTGTTAAGGCTTATCAATTGTTTTTCAATAACAGGTTGCTTATTATCCTTTTTAGTGAAAAGGTTTCTAAGCTGTTTTACATACTTATCTTTTAGATCTGGATCCTCTATCTTGGAGATCAAGTCTATAAGTATGTGTTCTTCATTTTGCTTTGTGATTACCCTAACTTGTTTTTGACAAGAGCATCCTATTTTAATCTTAGGTGCATCAGGGTGATCAGAAGCTGAATAATAATCTGAAGAGTCTGAGGTGTCTACTGGACTGTTTGATTCTTCAGAGCTGTCAAGATTGTTTATCCTAAAGATTTCAAGGATTCTGTCCTCATCATCTTGGGATAGATTTAATCTTTTTACTTGTTTTTTAATTGGGCATTCAGGGCTAATGTGGCCTGATTTTCCACAATTAAAACATGTAATATCTTGGACTTTTCCTTTACCTTTGTTGTCTGTTTTTTTGGATCTAAATTTTCTTCTAGGTTTCTTGGAAGATTCTGGTTTAGATCTTTTGGCAGTTCTGTGGTGAGGAAAATGTCTTTGATAGGATTTGTTTTTAGAATAAGGCTTGTGTAATTTAGATTTTCTGTGTTTTCTATGGGAAGGAGCTAATGGCTGTAACCCATATTGTTCACAAAAATTTCCTAATTCATATTTAGCCTTATGTTTTTCATTTGTTAATTGCTTATTGATTCTCAGATCAACACACCATTTTAATCCTACATTTTGGATGGTGCTAATGAGTTCTCCATAAGCAAGATTATCATACTCAATAATTCCTGTGTCTTTGCTAAGGGTTTCTCTTACCTTGTGGGCAAAGAGACTAGGTAATCCATTAACAAATTTCTCTTTCCAGAATGCTTTCTGGCAGTCTGGTCGAACCATGACACGGGAAACAAAAACATCTTTATACCACCTAAAGTCACTAAGTGTGGGACATTTTAGGTTGGTCAACTGGTCGTGTATCCTAGCAGTAATGCTACTAGGAGTACCAACAAAGTGTTTGATGATTGTGAATATAAGTGTATTACAACCATCAGGCTTAGCTGTGCCAGATATATATATATATATATATATAAAGAGAGAGAGAGAGAGAGAATGAATTGGGTTTTTATACTTCCACGATCCAAAGCGTTTTTTACTGTTAACAAGGCTCAAAGTGTGGATTTCATTAATTTCCTCAAATAGAGCTGCGTGTTGTTTGCATTTTTTGGCTTTGTTTTCAAAACAACTTAACTTAAAAATAACGACAGAGAGATAGGCGAGAGAATATATATAAATAACTCTATACACATCTAACTCCATATTTGTATATACATAACTCTATACATATCTAACTCCAAAATCTATACAAATCTAACTCTAAAATCTATATAAATCTAACTTAGATCTACAAATACACATAAATAACTCCAAATTTATGCATATCTTAGGTATATATATATATACTTTTAACAAATTTAACTCAAATTTAACAGAGAGAGTGTGACAAGATAGGCGAGAGAATGACAGAGAGAGACCTTGGGGTCTTCGTTGCACAGGCAGAGGCAACAAAGAGTTGCGGTCTTCATTGCACAGACAAAGACTAGAGACAATTTTGGGTTTTCATTGCAGTGGTAGAGAGGCGATGGAGAAAGTGGGTTTGTTTTCTGAGAGGCAATGGATAAAGTGGGTTTCGTTCTTTAGTTACAGAGAGAGAGAGAGAGATTGGGTTTTTAGACTTCCACAATCCAAAGCATTTTTGGCTGCTAACAAGGCTCGAAGTGTGGATCTCATTAATTCCCTTAGATAGAGGCTCGCGTTGTTTGCATTTTTTTTTGAAAACATCTTTTTTTGTTTGCATTTTTTTGGCCTTATTTTCAAAATAACTTAGCTTTAAAAAAAAGAAATACATCCCAAACATGTTTTTTTTTTTGGCAAAAAGTGAAAGCAAAAACAAAAAATACTTTGCAAAAATAGAGGCTTGGATATAATTCTAGTCTTTTGTTAATGTATGTCACTACAAGAATCGTCATTTGATACTCTTCTTTTATTTGAGGGCTTTAGTATATTAATGAATCGTTGAAGGGATGTTGCCCAATAGATGCCAACACATTTGCATATTTTGAGATCAGCAATCTGAAAGCATGAGGTAGTTCGTGAATTTATTGGCATTGTATTCACTTATATCTAAGTAATTTTTGAGTGACCTTGGAGCTTCAGAAGAGGCGCTAGGGGTTTTAGATCATTTTTCTTTCTCTATTGGAAAAAGACCATTATATTAAGAGCCATCATGTCATCATATTAAGAAATTATGTAAATTGCTGAAGTTGAGATTGATCAAGTCTGAACAAGTAGGTCTGATGAATTCCCATAGACCACTTGGGATCATCTGATGGCTCAATCACGTCTTTGAAACACTTCAAAAAATATCATTTTGGTCAAGTAATGATTCTGCAATTATGACCTGTTCCATGAGGCCATGACCACAAAAATAAGTGCTGTCCTGATTCTTTGCCCAAGTATTTTTTTTTTACTTTTATTTGAAGTCGTTTTTTGGTTAAGAAACAGGTAAAAGTGAGGAATACCCATGTCAAACATATTGTCTGAGGTAAATAAAGCTGCATGTGGTAAAGTTATTCTTATCCTGTGAGCCTGAGCTGTGAGGTCATTTCTCATGCTGTATACATGGGCAAATTGCTCTATCTTTGTTGCTGCACTATGTGATGAAGAGTTGATAAAGGCTTATCTGATCTTTCACTTTGTGAATTTCTCCGTAGTTTAAATTGTATTATTTATTAGCTTAGAACCCCATTAATTTTTTGACAAGGTTCCATCTTTTTGTTAGACAACTTAGACTCGTGTCAAAACTGACACTTTCCAATGGTGGGACAAAACACTCTGGTCCTGTAGTATATGTGGTTTTGGTTGGCATGGTTGCCCTTTTGGCCTTATACATTGCAGTTTCATACTTTCTAATTTTTTGGGTGATAACTGTTTGCGGTTTAGTGTGAAAGAGTTAAAGCGGAGCTTTTAATTATGATGGAAAGTAGAAACCACAAACATCCTGTTGAGCCACTGAAGTATAAATACTATTGGACTTCTAATAGCGTTGAATGAACCGAGTACTCAATCTTAATAACCAAAGCTTAGTCCAAGTATCTAGGCTATCCATTCGCAAAATGACATAATATGATTGTGAGTGTCCTATAAATAAATATGGGTCTTCCTTCTGAAATAGTGAAAGGTAATGATATTTATGGCTAAATGACATGTTTAGGAGCTTTATTTGCATGGAAACTCTATTGGAGATGAAGGAGTCCGCGCCTTGATGTCTGGATTATCTTCACGTAAAGGTTCTACTTTTTGGTGTATCAAGTGCCATTCTGGTTAAAATACTTGTGTTTCATTATCTATTTTAACATGTTTTGCAGCTGACCTGACATGTATAGCCCCTCTGTAGGAAAACTTACAATTCTAGACCTTGGAAACAACGCTATTAGCTCAAAAGGTGCCTTTCATGTTGCTGACTATGTCAAGGGAAGCAAAAGCTTATTATGGTTAAATCTTTACATGAATGACATTCAAGATGAGGTACATATATTCTCAGTAATAATGCCTTGTATTAAAAAGGTGAAATAATTATCAGCATTGTACAATACGCCTTTCTCATTCTGTAGCTTACATTCGCTTTACCTCTGGTTTTTGTTGTGCTCAGTGATGTATCAAAATTAAAACGTTTAATAAAGTGGTTTTCTTGAATAGATTGTGACACAGTATTTTGGTTAGTATGGCCTTGCTAATTTGTCGGAAATAATTTAGAAGTAATGAAAATGGTCCTTAATTTTTTATTCGCTTCATAAGTTTTTGCTGCTTAAAATAGGGGCTGCATGATAACTAAAGCTATTTCTATTGCTGTCATAATTTTAACAGTCCAACTGTCTATTGCTTTTGTTGCTTGCCACAAAAGCAACCTAAAAGCCATGGCTCATATCTCCTCTTGAGGGTTTTTAATAGGACAAGGAGATGAACAAAATTGACATAGTTGACGTGGAGAGAGGAAAGGATGAAATTATATCAACCGTGGGAAACAAAGATCATTGATTGAGTTGATGTGGAGAGGGGAAAGGATGATATTACATCATCTGGGTACCCAACAGAATTTATGTAGTAGACAAATAGTTTGGATATTGCCTTTTTGAGTTGTATATCAGATGCTGAATAGGAAAATAAAACTCGTAATCTTATAATGATATATTAAACTGTGATTAGTTAAGATATTCTGATTTTCCTTTGTTAGTACTTCTGAGCAAGTAATGATGATCTGAATTCTTAATGAATTTCACCGTAGATGTTTAGATAGAAATGGTGGTTATTTTATTTCCTCTGTTCTGTTTCCTTTTACTTTTTTCTTTTTATTATATTTCTACTTGAGGATTTGTGGATGTATGGTCCAATGTATATAGACATGGTTTGGCCTTGCTGGAAGATCTGTTTGGCTGAGACCCAATTTTTAATGCATAACTTGTTAATGGTTTGTAACTCCTGAATTTTATCAGGGAGCTGCAAAGATAGCAGATGCTTTGAAGCAGAATCGCACATTGACGAACGTAGATCTGGTGAGAAGAATTTTCTTTGCAATAATCATTTTTTTGGCAGTGTTTTTTCAAGTTTCAAGATTATATCCAACAAACCATTTCGATGACATCACAAAATGGTGAGAATTCTTAAGGGGGGGAACGACATCCATGCCAGGGGGGTTGGTGACATAGCCCAAGTTTTGAAAGATAATTCTGTTATTACCAATGTGAGTCTCCTACTATTAATTTCTGTATTTCTGTTTTTGTTTCAATGTAATCTGAAAATGAAATATCCAAATCTCAACTCTCTCTTTCTCTCTCAGTTGGAACTTGGTTATAATCCCATTGGACCTGATGGAGCAAAAGCTTTATCTGAAGTTCTCAAGTTTCACGGAAACATAAAAAGCCTCATGCTTGGTTGGTGTCAGGTAATTTCTGGATTTTAATGTTGAGGCCTCTTCAGTGTTTTGAAAAGCTCGCCTAGGCGAGAAGCGAGGCGAGGCGAGCTTATCTCACCTGGAGGACCCCAGGCGAAGCGAGAAAAAAGCGAGAAAAAGCGAAAAAGAGAAAAAGCGAAAAAGCGAAGAAGCGAAAAAAGCGAAAAAAGCGAAAAAGCGAACGCTTTATTATAAAAAGCGATTCTGCTTCAACTTTTTTTTTTCCTGATTACAGGTTAGTAGTCTCTTTTATTTTTTAATCACTAATGACTTTTTTTTTAGACTATTGCTGGTCTATTTTTTTTTAATAAACAATGTTTCGAACAAAACACATTCTTTTTTTTTCCTTGTGTTGCTGAATTCATTTAGAATATTTGTGGAATGTGGGAGTCAGGCGACTGCACTGCATGACAATTATGATAAAAAAAAGAAGCAGGAGTATCAGAAATGGGGGTAAATAATAGATTCTTCTACAAAGAAGTGTCTCTGATATGTCTTGGTTATACTTTTTCCTTTTCTTATATATATACAAATGGTACCAAAAAGTGGTCTATGCTTATACCATGTTTAATTATTTTAGTACATGTGAAATGTGCCTCTGTTCTGCTTTTTTTTATTCAATATATAATTACATATGAAATTGTTTACAATTGATTCTGCTCCTGTCATGATTATTGTGCTTCTGTTTTTTTTTTTAACTCATTCTGCTTCTATTTTTTTTTGTTGATTCTGTTGCTGCTTCGGTTTTGCTGTCCTGTGTTGCTTTTATTTATTTTTATCCTCATTCTACTTCTTTTTTTTTTGTTGCTAATTCTGCTGTTGTCCTGATTCTGCTTCTTTTGTTGTCCTACCTTGTCAATATGAAAATGTATACAATTGTTAGTATTTGTTTGAATTTAAATGTTTAAGTTATGACTGTTATTAAGATTTGAGATATTATTAGTATTTTTTTTAATTTAAATGTTTATGGTTTTACTTGCATTTAAATATTTAGTATATATAAAATTAGAACTTAGATTGTTTAGAAGTAATTAAACTAAAATATATATTTTTTTAACTGTTCGCTTTGTTTCGGTAAAGCGTGTTGCTTCGCTTCTCGCTTCTCGCCTAGGCGTTAGGAGCCTTGGTCGCTTCGGTTTGCTTTATGCCTTAAATAACACTGGGCCTCTTAAAAGAATTCATTGACCATGTATGTGTGAATATCTTGCAGATAGGAGCAAAGGGTGCAGAGTTCATAGCAGATACTTTGAAGTACAATAATACAATATCAAATTTAGACCTGCGAGCAAATGGACTTAGAGATGAAGTTTGTTTCTGTCTATTATTTCTTTTCTGTTGCATCTGGGTATGTTGACTGCCCAATCTTATAGTCTCCACTCATTTATAATGTGTTCATGCAGGGTGCCATCTGCCTAGCTCGCAGCTTGAAGGTGGTTAATGAAACTTTGACGACACTTGATTTAGGGTTTAATGAAATTAGAGTACGGAATTCTTCCTCTGGTACTTTGTAGTCATGTAAGCATATCTTTTTGCACAATTTTACATTGGTTCTATAAACAGGATGAAGGGGCTTTCGCCATTGCTCAAGCACTCAAGGCTAATGAAGATGTGAGATTGACATCTCTAAATCTTACCAGCAACTTCCTTACCAAATTGGGTCAGGTGGATTTCTATTTCTTCTATCTTTCTCTTGTTCTTTCTTTGGCATTGTTTTCTTCATTGGAAGTAGATATTGATTCAGAATAAAATGTGAAATCATGCAGAGTGCTCTTGCAGATGCAAAAGACCATGTATATGAGATGAACGAAAAGGAAGTCACAATTGTTTTCTAGATGACTAGACCTAAAGAGGGAATACTATCTTTTGTGTTAATATATTGTTGAAAGAAGGCCATATATTTGGTCAACCCTTCTTTCGGGGAAGTATGAGTAAAGATTCGTTGCCCTAGTTCCCATTCTTTGAGTTCAAGGGGGACTTTGAAAATTTTGTCATTGAGAGATTATAGCGAGCTTTTAGTCTGTTCTGGTTAAATTTTTGAACCTTTTTTTTTCATGATGCAAGCCAAAAGTTTATCGTTAGGTCTGTCTCTGTTAGGCAGCTGATGATATAATAGATTCACTAAGTTTTCATATGATTATGTTTTTGGATTAGTAGTATTATTTCTCAAGTTCTTGGTAATGGGCCTGTTGGCGTCTTGAGACTCTTGACTTGTCGAGTTCTTCATTGTAGTCTACCAGCTATGTTCCGTGGATACACGTCTGTTTCAGGTTCATACTTCATTGGTTCCCTCTTCTTTTTCCTTTTACCTTAATTGTAACAGTGGAAAACTATTATTGATTGTGTACTTTGTTTGACTGGGATTTGGTGAACTTGAGGAAATTGGTGACTTGGGTGTAGTTCGGAAAATGCTGTTGGAGAAGAACGTGTGCCATTGCAGCACCAGTATCTTATACGTTTGATTCCCTCAAAATCACAAATCACACACTGGTTGTGATGCACCACCTAGACTGGCGCCTTTTCAAGGTAGCCGGGTGATTGGTGGGGTGCTGTTAATAGCTTGGACTGCCTAGGGTGTGTTCTGTCTAACAAGTGATTCACTTCGGTTATTTTGGCGGACAAATTGTGCCCAGGTGGCCAAGGACCTAAGCTGTTGACAAAGGTTGGTTGTACCAAATAGTAATCGAAGAGCTAAGCCATTTTGTTGTGTTTTGTATAGTGGGCATTTGAATTTTTATTGGAATAATATTTGCTTGCTTTTTACACAATTGTAAATACCTTTTAACATTGAGAAACTGTGAGGTAGCTGCTGGGCAGACATTAGTAGTGGCGAAATGGTTGACCTGATGATGACGGTGGTGGTGGCGGTGACGGCGACGGCGGTGGTAGTAGCTCATGTTGTGGAGGGTATAGTGTGCTTTTAGTGGTGTAGCCATGGATATGTAAGTTAATTGTGGCAGAACACTGCTAACCTTCCGTGGCTCAGGATTTATGCTTTGATGAAAGCGTTGTACTAGTCCAGCTCATGTAGGACTGTTGATGTGTAGTCCTATTGATGTTTGGCTTTTTGGCTTTTGAAGTTTGTCCATGTAGGACCTTGTTTACTTCAGGACGGAAACTAAAGTTTTATCGCATGCTCAAAGCGTTGAAGTGGTAGTTTAATTCTATCTATTATAACTGTGGAGGTTTGAACTTAAACATTGAACTAGAAAATTTAGGTCGTGCTTGGTTTGTATTTGAAATTGTTTTTTTTTGTTTTTGGAAATAGTTTCTAGGAGAAAAATAGATTGATCGGTTATTTTTTGTTTTTGTTTTTATTTTTTCTGAAAATTGAAAACAAAATTTGAGTAGATTTAGAAAATAAGTTTAGAAAACATCACAAAAGTCCATCAACCTTCCACCTACACCGTCACCGCACTTCCATCGTTGCTACCGTCATCACACTTTCACCACTCTTACACCATCAACACTCCATTACCACCACCTCACTGCCACTATATTTTTAGTACCACCACATTTTTATTTTTTGGTTTTTAGGTTATTGTTTAAATAAATTATTATTTTTTATTTCATAAAATTATTTTTGAAATTATACGACTGCTGCGTAAGTTTAACAATACAAAAAACACTATAAATAATTTTTTAAAACTCTTCAAAAAAAAAATAATGTTTAAATAATATTTTTTGAGACCAGACCAATCGCTCGGTGGCATCTGGGGTCCTCATCATGTCGGCAATTTTTTATTTTTGTGCATTGAAAAATTCATGTCGGCTATTGCCGACAAGGTATAACAGCTGTTCAAGATAGTTTTAGACAGATGGGAATTCCAATACTTATCTCCTCAAGAGAAAAAGAAAAAACATGAAAGAATTGAGGAAAGAAAGAACAAACCGGCCCTTCACCCAATGTTTGCTGAGAGCAGTGTATTGGTAGGTGGTGGGTGGAAAGGCATGGCAATGTGAACACCAAAAGGGCCAGAGAGTTTTTGTCGTGTGGTGGTGCACGGCAGTAGCCTCCAGCTCAACGTGAGCAGGCAGCTGAGCAGTACACTATTTTGGTGTCATCATCGCATGCCCTTTTATCTAGGCCTGAGAACTGTTTGGGTCCGATTAGGGTATCAAAATTTATTTTTTGTTTAATAAAATTTTAGTATGTTTAAACTTTATTTATATAAATTTTTTAAATAAATAACTATAAATTTACCAAATTATTAATATTTTTAATTAATTCTGATACGATATTTTTTTTTTTTTTTGGCATGGTAGATTTATCCGAACCGACTAAAAAACTGACTCGTGGGTTTGCCCTTGCCATTCTTTTTGGTGTCTCATGCATCATTCCAACTGGACTTGAGCTGGCTCTTCTGGTGAATGGATGGCTGTACTTCACCTTCTGTTCACTTTTGGTACCCTAAAATTAGGTGTAATGATTATACAATATTAATAATACCGATGTAATACAACTATCTAATAAAAAAATTATAAAACAAATAAAATAAGGTTTATTTTTTTATCAAAGAAGACGACTATACATTATATGATTGAGATATAAATTTTTGTGAGATTTATTTATAGACTTGTTTGTTTATTAATTAACGATTATATCACATGACACTGTTAATATAAAACTAAATTTTGTTTTGAAATGATCAAAATATTTTTGATGGTATAAATCAACGTGGATGAAAAAAAGGTGCAGGTGACGTGTGATGAGCGTTGATCAGAGCTATAAGGCTCGTGTGTGATGCTGTAGTGAAATACTGAGGGGATTAAATGGATGTATATAGTGAAAATATAGTAGTTTACCAGCTCAGGAACTCGACTAGTCCACTCTTCAATTGGGGCTCTTGCTCTTTCTCCTCTATTCCATACTCAAATGTATTACATCTCGAAAAAATGGTTTTTGTTTTCATCCCTTTATCTATGGAGGCGTTACATAGTATTTATAAGGCTGCCCCTATTTCGTGAGATTTCAGCCGAGATCTTTGCCCATTATTCATGGGATTTTTCTTGATTTTAGGAGAGAATCTTGGTTGGTTGAGAGTTTCATGCATGAGGCCCAATTTTCGCAGTCATCCAGCTATTTCCTGGTTGGTTCAGCTACGATCTCTCCAAGGGGAGCTCCACCCCTGGTTCTCTGAGTTTCTCGTGTCTTTCCTAACCTCCTGACCCGAGCTCACAGCTAGGGCTTGTTTGAGGTATCATCAGTTGCCCCTGGTTCAAGCGGGCTTGGGTAGGGGTTGAGCTGTTTTTTAAACCGAGTAGGATCTGCACGTGGCTAACCTTGGCCTGCACGTGAGTTAGGCCTTTTTGACAGTTTTCAGCAATCATGGCTTCCTCGTTTCCCACACACGTTGTAGCCCATGTCTCTCTGGCTTTAAATGCTCAAACGGCTATCTGAACCGCCCTATTCCACTATTCAACTTCTCTGCTGCTTCTCTCTTCTTGCGATTTCTTGGCTTTCTGGTTTGGAATTCTCTTACTCCTTGTTCAAGATCGAGTTCTGTGGGTTCGATTTGAAGATTCACATTGCCCTCTTTCTTCCATTTCGCTCTAGGCTACTACTGTTCACTGCTCTTTCCCACCTAGGTACGCCCTTTTGTCCCTTTTTGATCTTTCCTCGTTCTGAATCCCTTGAATTCGAGGTGGCCATTGCATTTCTGGGCCTTTCGGTTCTTTTACTTTTGGAATCAAAATTACTGCTTGTCTCCTCTACCCTATTTCGTGAACTGGTCTTCTATCGTGCAAATCCTTGCTGTTAGAAGCTACTGCGCTGACCCTAGGGTTATTAGGGAGTGGTTAATCAGTATTCCTCCTCTCTACTGTTCTTTCAGTCTACCTTTCTCCTGTTCAGTCATGTTTACTCCTTCCAGAGTTGCACGTTCCTCTACTTCTCTCTTAGGGGAAAGGTCTACCGAAGAGGACACTGATTTAGGGGATGTAGGCAAGAAAATCGACAATTTTCCTGGTGTGGATGCTGTCGATGCCGAGAAAAATACTGAGGAACCATCTCCATCGTCTTCTTCTGTGCCTCATAATCCTAACAAAGGTAAGGGCAAGATGAGTGGGATAGGAGTCTCTGATAGTGCAGCGGGCACAGGGGGTGCCTTTAGGCATGCTGAGCTCGTAGGACCTAGTGAGGTTGACTCTTCTCATGTGAGAATTCTATGTGCTCATTACGATTTTCCTCCTGGTGTCCAGATAAATACACCTTATACGTTACTCAAGTTCACAAGAGGGTATGTTTTTTTTGCGACCTCTTTTGAGAATGACCTTCGCTTCCCTATGCATCCCTTCATTAAGGGTGTTTTGTAACACTTCAATGTCTGCCCTGCTCAACTCTCCCCTAATTTTTGGGTGTACTCGTGGGTCTTCTTGTTTTATTCAAGATTCATGGACTCGNGTGGGTTTGCCCTTGCCATTCTTTTTGGTGTCTCATGCATCATTCCAACTGGACTTGAGCTGGCTCTTCTGGTGAATGGATGGCTGTACTTCACCTTCTGTTCACTTTTGGTACCCTAAAATTAGGTGTAATGATTATACAATATTAATAATACCGATGTAATACAACTATCTAATAAAAAAATTATAAAACAAATAAAATAAGGTTTATTTTTTTATCAAAGAAGACGACTATACATTATATGATTGAGATATAAATTTTTGTGAGATTTATTTATAGACTTGTTTGTTTATTAATTAACGATTATATCACATGACACTGTTAATATAAAACTAAATTTTGTTTTGAAATGATCAAAATATTTTTGATGGTATAAATCAACGTGGATGAAAAAAAGGTGCAGGTGACGTGTGATGAGCGTTGATCAGAGCTATAAGGCTCGTGTGTGATGCTGTAGTGAAATACTGAGGGGATTAAATGGATGTATATAGTGAAAATATAGTAGTTTACCAGCTCAGGAACTCGACTAGTCCACTCTTCAATTGGGGCTCTTGCTCTTTCTCCTCTATTCCATACTCAAATGTATTACATCTCGAAAAAATGGTTTTTGTTTTCATCCCTTTATCTATGGAGGCGTTACATAGTATTTATAAGGCTGCCCCTATTTCGTGAGATTTCAGCCGAGATCTTTGCCCATTATTCATGGGATTTTTCTTGATTTTAGGAGAGAATCTTGGTTGGTTGAGAGTTTCATGCATGAGGCCCAATTTTCGCAGTCATCCAGCTATTTCCTGGTTGGTTCAGCTACGATCTCTCCAAGGGGAGCTCCACCCCTGGTTCTCTGAGTTTCTCGTGTCTTTCCTAACCTCCTGACCCGAGCTCACAGCTAGGGCTTGTTTGAGGTATCATCAGTTGCCCCTGGTT